GTAAAACTAAGAAGAGATATCTTAAGAACTATAAAAATAAAGTGATTCTCACTACATAATTCTTCAAGGCCACAGGAATCTATAACTCCATGACTTCTCAAAGACAGTCGCAATAAATGAGGTAAAAAATTGATTGATTGATTGAAACTCTAAAAACAGAACACCAGATCTCTAATCCAAAATCTATACTCAATCAACTACCATAAATCCTATTTCCTGAAGAAAACAGAGGTTTACTGAATCAAAGGAGACTGAGACTAAGGCAAGTAGACAAAACAAAAGTCAGTAAAGAAAACAAGAATAAAGATCTGCATACTGGAAAAAGCCCTCTAGTCTACTGCTTCCACTTCTAGCCTTTTTGAAAGGAACAGACTTTTTTGTTTTTCTTTTTTTTTTTTTTAAACACAGTCTCACTATATAGTTCAGGCTGACCTTGAACTCACTATGTAGCCCCCATTGTCCTGAACACACAGCAATTCTCCTACCTCACCCTCCAGAGTGCTGGGATTCCAGGTGTGCACCACTACACTCAGCTAGGAGTAGTCTCTTGGGTCAAAAGTTCCACAAAATAAAACGTGAAGGATTATGCCTATGGATAAGTGCTAGACTTACACATAAAATTCCAGGCAGCTTTTTAGGACCTTTCTCCTTAAGAATGATGCAACAGAAAAATTAACAATCCCAAAATATACCAGAAACAAATTCAAAAGACAAATGATAAAATACTTGCAAAACATATTAAGCCCAAAAGAATATTACAGTTATGCTGGGGAGATGGCTCAGTAGAATAAGCACTTCCCTGGCAAGCGCAAGGGCCTAAATTCAACCCCCGGGTTCTGCCAGAAAGAAAGAAAGAAAGAAAGAAAGAAAGAAAGAAAGAAAGAAAGAAAGAAAGAAAGAAAGAAAGAAAACCTGCACAACACTTGAAGAAACATAATTTAGTGAATTTTATTCTTGTTTTAGAGAGCTTAAAGGGAAGGAAAGAAAAAACATTTGCTTAATTTACTGTTAACCAGAAATTGAAGTGGTTCTCGGTACAAAGACAATTTTCTCTCCCTAGGCTCTATTTTTGTCTACATGAGCAACCACTTCTCAACCCAGATGGCCAGAAACTCAAAAACTCGTGAGGCAGTGTGTAAACAGGCACTTTCATACAATACTGGTAATTTGCTATTATCTAGCCAAACTCCACAAGTACTTTTCTTCTGATCTAGTTTTAAGACCTACCCTGATCTCCAACAACACACACACAAAAACAAAACAACAACAACAAAAAAAACCACAAACAGCAAGAACATGCACAGTACTTTAGCAGGGCATTGTGTGAAACTGCACAATATTGAAAACAATTTAAGTGACCAAACGACATAAACAGATTTGGT